CGTCTGTCCTGCCCCTGCTGGGTGAGAAGCTCTTTGAGGACAGAGATTCTGCCTTGGCAATAAGGATTTGTGAAATGGGCGTTGGGGTTGGGTAGATCTAGGATCCGGTCCTTCTTCTGCCACTCCTTGGTCCTGAGGCATTGAGCAGGGTGTTTGTCTCCCTTGAGGCTCACTTTCCAGATACACAAAATGCTTGGCCTATCACTCGGCCCCTGGGAGTCTGCAGAACTGTCGGCTCCCTTCTTCTGTTCTCTGTCCATAGCTCCTAGGGCCAAGCTTTGCACACAGGCAGTGTCTTCCATGTGTTTGTTACATGGGGTTAAAAAATTTCACACCATCTCAGGCATTCCAGTTAGAAGAAACACAGAAGACCCCCTCCAGGCACTCCTTCAGAGTGCAGAGGATGTGGGTCTCAAAACATGCAGAGTGGCTGCCTATTTCCCCTGCATTTGGTAAAGACACAGAGCAGTCCCCATGGGAGGCCCTCAGAATGCTGACCTGAGGGACACGTGGCCTTGACCTCTGGCTCCTATCAGGAAAGAGCCAGGTTCCAGCTGGGGCTGCAGACTTGCTGTCAGACAGCATCCTCTGAGTGTGCCAGCCTTACCTTACCCCACAGCTCTGCCTCCTCGCATGGGTCAGGGAAGGCCTCCCAGCCTCAGGGGTTCCCCACCAGGGAGCCCTGTCTGCCACCCTCAGGCCTGGATCTGTCTGGCTTCTCCAGGGACAGTGCAGAAAGAGGATGGTCACCCTGGCTGCATCATCCCAGGCCATGTGCCTGAGCACCTGCTCCCTACAGGGCACTGGGTTGGAGGCAGGGGGAGACTCAGGTGACCAGGATGTCCCCCTCCCCATGCCATGTACACTCTGGTAGAGGCAACAGACATCCCATAGGGAATAAACTACAAGTGCAGTGAGTGTTAGGAAAAGGGGGGTCAGGCCTTCTTGGCCCCCGGGACCAGATCCCCATTCTTATTTATAATCACTCCGTGATCTGTTGGTCAGGCAAGCCCGACTACCACAGGCCCAGAGATTTACCAGGACTGACCAGTCCCAGGATCTGGGGTCTGCACAAGCCTGTGGAGAGGAGAACTCTTGCCCACCTAATCTTGTCCTAGTGGCTTAACATCCCCAGTCTCTTATGTTGTCTCCAACTGCGGGAGCTGCACCTGCATGCTCCCTTCACCCACACACGTGTCTGTGCATGTCTTTGTGGTGCTGCATGTGTCTGAGTATGTGTGCCTACGCAGAGCAACAGGGAGAGCTGTGCAGGCTTGTGATTTGGAAGTAAGATCTTGGCTCCTGCCCCAGCTTTTCCATCACAGGTGTCTGATCTTGGACTATGTATTTAATTTCTCTGAATCTCAGTATTGTTATCTGTAAAGTGCAAAGCCCACCTCACCTGACTCTTGTGAGGACAGACCTGAGGTGATACATTTGCAAGTATGTTGGAAACCATACTGCAGTATACAAGTAGTAATACAGAGAGACATACAAGTAAATAATTCACACAAATTTATCATCTTATCACATCTCCTCCCAAAGAGTAAATTTCATGCATTTTACAGTGTTAAACAGAGGTTAAGAGTTTTTAATGTGAGATATGAAGAAATAAGTCCGTGAATACAGTGAATCTACACACCTGAATGAGACTGCAACTGCAGGGGGTACCAGCACCAAACCCAGAGTACCCTAGTGGCCAAGGCAAAAAGGGAAACACAGCGCTGTACAGCTTTTATGATCTGATTTGTAAAAGCTAAATAAAAAGCCCTGATATAAAACAGGTGTTGGCGAGTTGGTTTCTCACAGCGATGACAGAATGACCCCAGCGCAGTGCCCTGGTCCAGGGGGGAGTAGACGGAGGGCTTCCCGCGGCTTCACCACCCACCCTCGCTCTTCCGCTCGCTCTCCCTGTCCTTGTCTTTTAGCCACAATGCCCCCATTCTGAAGTCCTGCTGGCCTCCACAGCGACCGCACTCCTGCCGCCTCTCCCCCTGCCGTCTGGCACCGTCCGTCCCCCCGCCGACTTCCTTCTCCAAATGTTTTCTCAGGTGGTTAAGCTGAAAGGCCAAGTACTGTCGGTCATGTATCGATTCCGCACCAAGAACCGCGAGTGGATGTTGACCCGCACCAGCAGCTTCACGTTCCAGAACCCCTACTCTGATGAGATTGAGTACGTCATCTGCACCAACACCAATGTCAAGTACGTGCGCTGCCTTTTCCCTCTCCTGGCATCTACATGCCCTTTCTGGGGTCAGAGCTGGTGAGCTTACTTCGGGGCTCTTTTCTCCCCGCAGGCTCTACCTGCAGCTGGAAACTGGGGCTCGGGAGCAAGAATGGGGGGCTGTGGGTCTCCGTCACCGCTTCCCTCCCTCGCTCTTCCTTCTCATTTCCCGCCCGATTTGTAAAACCAGAAGAACCGAGTGATGACCCCATGGCATTCCCTTCCCTTCAGTGCAGAGTGCTCTGGGGCGGGCACAGGTAGAAGTGCTCTGCAGTCGCTATCGCTGACGCTGGCGGCAGCAGCGACTCTGCCAGCTGTGACAGCTGCTTCGCGATTTCTTGGACCAGCTCTTGCAGGCAGCCCCAGATCTTGGTTGATCCCCTAAGGGCACTGCCTGCTTTTTACTTGGGCAGATCGCCTTGCCTTCCAGGGGACTGAGAAGCCGGGGCCTCCTCGTGAAGCCCCTGCTGTCCGTGACAGTGTCCCTCTCAGTCCTCTCCTCCCCTCCCTTTCCGGCTCCTAGCAAGGGCGGGGTCTCCTCCTGCCAGGGCTGAACCCCCCACTTTCTTTATCTCCCAGCACATTCTCTGTCTCCCGTGGCTCTCGCTCCTTGTCCTGTCCCTCTGCAGGCTCCTTCCCAAGGCCTGCAAACAGGCACAGGGCTTCCTGATGTTGGAGAACCCCCGGGTGCCAATCTACCGCAGCCGCCACAGCTTTCTCTCCCCCACCGCACACCCCCAGCCCTGCCAGGTGTGTCCTTCACCATTCGTCTCCTCCTGACCCCTTGCAGCCCGGCTCCTGCCCCTCCACTGTCAAAACTGCTCTCCCAGCAGCCTCCAGTGATGCCACAAAGTAACGCTCTCTCACAGGTCATCCTCCCCAAATTGTCTGCTTAACCAGCTCCTCTTTCTTGACATCTTCTTTGGCTGACTCAATGTTCTGATTCTTTTTCTACCTCCATCTTCTAGCCAAGACTTTCCTGGTTGTAAACATGGGGGGAACACATATAACAAGTCATAGATCCATGTTTGCAATCAGTTAATGTTATTAATTTCTTTCTATATCTGAGTTTATCTAGTTAAACTTGGTAAAGTTGGTCAAACTGAGGGTGTCTTATTTTCCCACTTCCCCAGCATGGGAAGGGGTGTTCTTCACTTGGGGAGCAGAGAGGAACCTCCCTAGGGCCTCGAAGAAAACATGGAAGCTTGAGACCCAGGAGTTAGAGTCGGGCAGACAGGGTGTGCCCAACGGCCTGATGGAGCCAGGGACGGGGCAGTGGGAGCCCAGGAGGGAAAGGAGGAGGAAAACACCAGCCCGGATCTGCTTAGCATCTGCTCGAGTCGTAGCTTTGTGCCCAGGCTCATACCTCCTGTCATGGCCCCACATCAGCAGCTCAGGCTGCCTGCACTGGAAGCCCTGCAAACAGACAAGCACGCCGCCTGTTCAGAATCACGGGCACTGTTCTAGAATCTCCACCCTTTGGGTGCCAACAAACCGACCAGTTCTTAGTGAGAGCTGCCTCCTTATACAACCCTGCCCCCCTTCCCTTCACCCCTCTCTGCCTCTTTTTTTCCTTTTCCGTACCTGTGCCCTTTTCCCTGATTATTTTCACAGCCACATACATGGTGTCTGCACACACCGGGAGCTCTGAGGCCATCTGTTACCTGTTGATGAGGTTGTCTCTTACCTGAGCTCTTAGGGTGTCATGGGAACAGCCTGTGCCTTGCTCCCAAACGTCAGTCCCGCCTATCACTGCAGCCACTTCTACAGTAAGTCTGGGCCATCCCCTCTGCAGTAAGGAGCATGGTCCCAGGCTGGGGGCCCAGCTCGGGGCCCAGCAGAGAATGATAGATTTGGGTCAGAAGAACTGACTGAAGCTCCCCTTTTTTGGATTTTTGTTATTTTTACATTTTTTCATCATTCTTCATTCACTTCCAACATTTGTACAAGGACATGTTCCCGGAAGGCTAAGACTTGGGCCCCTATAACAAGGAGCCCTGACCATCCCAGGACTGGGGTCTGCACAAGCCTGTGAAGAGGAGAGAACTCTTGCTCACCTATTGCAACTACATTCGGTGTAGTGGATATTCGCTAAATGCCATGAAAGGACATGGGCCTGCGCCAGGCCAAGGGGGCTCCATTATGTTTTCTGCCATCAGGGAGGAGCCCATGACCCCAGAAGGCTAAGACTAGGGCACCTATAACAAGGAGAACGTGAGAAGGGGCAGATGGGAGGGACAGACACAATACAGTGTGGAAACGGAGGAGGCAGAGAATGAACGCTCGCCCAGGGCCTGGAGAGAGTTCCACAGGGGACAGCACCGCGGGGGGTGGGAGGTGGGGTGCCTGGAAGAAGAGCAAAGACCCTGCTCTTAAAACCAGCCCCGGCTAGGCTTTTGTCTTCTTCTGGAAGTCAGGCAGCGCTGACAAAACCGAAAAACCATTCTATATGGAAGTGCCTGCGCATTTCCTCAGACCCGTCGCTGTTGGCAGCCAGTTGAGGTCACGGCGTTATAATGTCCCATCGGGACTCAGAGTTACACCAGAAACCTGAATCTGGTGTCTTCTGACGGGAAAAGTCCCCAGTTGGTAAAGATGGTTGGAAAAGTTTGCTACGGACGGTAGAGGGCAGTGATAACCATGGTTGTGAATGGTCTGGCCCTTTTTTAAATTTGCAAGGCTGAGCTTTGCCAGCAGTAGGCAGACTTGTTAGGAAAGGATCTTTAAATGTTCTGTATTTGGGAGAAAATTTTGCAAGCTCAGTTGTGTTCAGTCAGGAGCATGCAAAAGAAACTTCCCGGAGAAATGAGTGTTTAATGTTTAGCATTTGTGCGAAGCTGCTGAAAAGAAGCCCTCTTTAGCACCGCTGCATTTTTTCCTACTACGTCAATGCAGAATGAAGTCCAGAAAAACACAGACTGACTTAACATGCTGGTCGCACAACTTTGAAACATGCGCCCGTCTTGATGTTTAGGGGACAATACTCTTTTATGGGCTGTTCCTGAATATGACATTTTGGTGTTTTTGCATTTGCACAATCTAGCTGCTGTTCTTTCATGATGTTATTTTCCACATCATCCCTTTGGGAGAGTGATCCTAAGTTACCCCTTTGCATCTGCTTGGGCCTGGCCCCCTTTCCTGCAACAGCAGCATTCCAAAACCGTCATAGATTTTCATCACCACATCTGCTTGTTGTGCTAGTGTGTGCATGTGTGTGTTCTCAAAGCCCCACCATGCCCAGAGTCAGGTCTGAGTCTCAGATCCAGTCGACTATCATGTGTATTTAGTGAAGGTTGTGGTACTTACCTGCTTTGTAAGTAAGCAGGAGGCAGAGAATAGGGGAAGGTACAAAAGAAAGGTTGCATTCCTGGTCTCTGCAGAGCTTAGAGCCCATAAGGGGCTGGAACATGTGGTCACCAAGCCCCAAACCTGGAGTTGTCCTGGGTCCCTTTCACTCACCTGCAACAGACAACCTGGTGCAGCACCAGAGCCCCACAGCTCTATCTGGAAGTCTCTCTAGCCCGTGTCCTCCTCTGCCTCTTCTATCATGCCCCAGATGAGGCCTTTGCCATCTCACAAGTGACCTTCGGTTCTAAGAACCAGCCCCCCCTGCCTTCCATCTGGTCCGGTGAGCCTACCACATGGCCCAGGGAACATCTCTAAAACACACATGGGACCATGCCACTCCCTGCCCCTGATCAAATCAGTTCCAAGCCCTTAACAGACATGCAGAGTGTTTCATGATAGGCATGCAGATAGCGCTCAATCCACGGTGGTATTATTAGCCTTCCTCTGGTCAGCTGAGCCTGAGTCCCAGATGCCTCCCAGCCGGACTCCAGTTACCCCCAGGGGCGCGATCACAGCTGCCTCTGAATGCCCCCCTAAATGGCCCCTTTCCCGCTTACTCAGGCTGAGTAAGAACCTCTGTCCAGGGAGCATCACGAGCAACTGACGGCATCCGCCCAGCATCCTGTACCTCACTGATAGGAAGCCAGGCTCCATGCGTTGGGTTTCTAGTCATCAGCCTCATCTCCGGCTAATGGAGGGCAGCACTTTGCTGCGGTGGGAGCCCATCTCCCTCCCTTGCTGTCGGTCAGCTTTCTCCCTCTCTGGAATTTGCAAGCACACTGAGGTTTATTTTTATCTCATGGCTGTGAAATGTCTGAGAAACCTCCGCAGGCCCCTTCTCAGGACGGGGCGGCCTGCGGGTCAGCACTTCTTCCATGCGCACTCAGCTATGGAAGCGGAAACCCAAGGGTTGTGGGATGGAGAGGCCGACATCCGGACCACAGAGCAAGTGAGGTTAGGACCTGGGGATTTGCCAGCCACACCTGAGATCTTATTTTCTACTTCTCAGTGAAAGAAGCTTTCCCTGGTTTAGTAGCCCAAAGAGGAACAGGACTGAGAGCAAACCCCAGCCTCATGCCACGGGAACTTATCACACCTTCCTGCAAATCAGAAGCAGCTCACCTTCCTCCCCGCAGCACGGCCCCGTGCCAGGGCGAGGGCTGGGTTTGTGCCCCACTCACTGCTCAGCCAGGCACCCAGGGCACAGCTGTACAACCCCACGCAGTGGCCCTGCCCACTCTCTAAGACTTTGGGCTTGGGCTGGACACAGCTGAGCCACAGATAGGAGTGGTTATTTCCTGGAAAAGTGTTTATGGGTTGAAGATTGGGCCCTGGAGATGGGGTAAGAGGGAGGTCCGTGGATTTCTGCTATGGTGGGAGTTCACTACTCCGATCCCACATAAAACCCAAGGAATAGATTTTCCTCCTCCTTGTGGTTCAAGATGCTGCTTTGTTGGGCCCAGGCGTCTGGAATGGGAGATGTGGAACAACAGTCCTTGTTACAACTGCGAGTATTTATCCTGGGCTGGGACAGCAGCCCGGGACAGAGGAAAGAGTGCCAGGTCTACAGCCAGAGAGACTTAGATTTGAATCCTATGTGTGCCATATTGTAGCTGTGTCAGCCTGGGCACATCATTTAAACTCTCTGAGCCTCAGTTTCTTTATCTGTACAATGGGAATATTGCAGAGGCATTGGCAAGATACTGGCTGTCAATCCTACATTCAGATTTTGGAGGCCCTGCAAATGAAAGATGATGGTGCCCCCAAGATATAGATCAATGTAAAACAAAGCAAAACCATCAAGTAAGCATAAGAAAATACAGAAAGTTATGATTTTTCTATTGATGATTATATTGATTCTTTTTTTAATTTTTGAAATATCAATTTGTTTTGAAAATTATTTTTAGTGCCTCCACTTTGCTGGTGTAATAAGCAGGGGCTGAGACTGCCTGGTGGGAAATCACGTGCTTCTGGTTCCATCCTTTTCCTTTTCCCTGAGCTCTTACACCAAGATGAGGCGGCAGGCTGGGCGCGTGGGTGGAACCTCGTTCTTCTGCATCATGGTCTTAACTCGTCACTCTGCAATCACTTGGCTACTTCTCTGTCTTCCCTGGAGACTGTCAGCTCCGTGAGGGCAGGGATCTTGTGGGTTCCGACTCCTCATTCTGTCCCCAGTGCCTAGCATGGGGCTTGGCATAGATATTTCACTTGCCTCGGTGCAGCTCACTGAATGGATGACTCATCTGGGCTTAATTCCAAACGGACAGTTCTGTGGGTGCTCCCACTGGGGTTTCTTCTAGGAGGTCTTCCCTATGGAGGGAGCACACGCGTGCCAGAGGCTATTTCAAATTTTTTCACCCGCATAGGACACAGTGTTTGTGGCCATAATCACAATGTATGTAACACTTTGTGCTGAACTGGAACTCTTGGACACGCTCTGATCATGCCTTCCATGTTTCCAGATGGTCTTCACAGTGGTTACTGTTAGTGCTACGCAGTGGTCACTCAGAAAGTTAATGTACACGGCTTACAAAGTCACTCCCCTATTACAGCCAACTTTGCGTGGATAGCTCTTCCTTCCTTCCACTGAGTAATGTCCCCAGTACAAGCCCCGGCAGCAGGATGACCACCCGGAAGAGCGTGAACACGTCTGTAGTGCCTAGTGAGGACTGCCGTACTGCTTTCCAGAAAGGGGTGTCTGTACATGCTTCCCCGACAGAGTGTGACCGTAGTTTCAACGTAAAGCCACCACGTTAAGCATGTTTTTACCACCGTAGATGAAAAATCGTACTTCAAAGGTTGTTTTAATTTGCATTTATTCTTGATTATTTTAATAGCATTTTATTTTAATTTTATCTTTTCACCCTGTATAAAATCAAGTCATAAGTCAAAAAAATTTCTTCAACAGTTGAGTGTAGCAGCTAAACTTGAAATACAGGGCTTGGAGTCTTGATTTGGAATGTTAAAAATAAAATAGTGAAAATGTTTCTCTAACTTGCTTATTATATCTATCATATATGTGTCATGTATTATATGTACATGTGTTATTATATATGCATATATATTATATGTATTTGTCCCTTAGTTTATTTATTTTTCCTTGAATTCTCTATCCAAGTCCTTTAAATTGATTCACAGGCAGGGGGGGAGGAGTAATTTTTTTAGGAATTTGAATTGCATATTACAGCTAATAACTTTTTGCCTGTGATTCTTATTGGTGTTTAGAATTGAAGACCATGTCATTCTGCCCCACTTTTAGGCTCTGTGCTGTAGGGTTCACAGTCCCTTGAAAGCAACCCAGTTTCCATAGTTTACAACTTAAAGCAGCCATTTCCTCTAACAAGACTTTTCCTTTCCCAGTTGAAGCAGGCCCCTTGGGGTCAGAAGCATTAGGTCAGATCCTTGCTCTGTTCTGTCTGACCTCTGTAAACTCCAGTTTCTTAATTTTAATATGGCGGTAAAGTAACCAGTGTAAGAGTTTAGTTTGAGGATCAGATGAGATCATGTAAACTCCTACCACTTTGTAAGTAAGCATTAACTGAAGCCAACTGCTTCATTCAGTCTTAAATTCAACTGCCTTTCTGAATTTGACCTTTAAAAAAATATTTTTTTTACTGTAATATCTTTTTGCCCTATATAAAATAAAGTCATACATCAAAATTTATTCTTAAATAGTTCAGTATGAAAGCCTAAACTTGAAATATAGGGCTTGGAGTCTTGATTAGGTTGTGGCCTTTTTCTTTTCTTTTCTTTTTTTTTTTTTTGAGACCGGCCGCACTGTGCTCAGCCAGTGAGCGCATCTGCCATCCCTATGTAGGATCCGAACCCGCGGCGGGAGTGCTTCCATGCTCCCAGCGCCGCACTCTCCTGAGTGCGCC